ATGGACGGTCACTCCAAGACTGTGTTCCCTCCCTAACGCTTTCCGGCAGTCGGCCTGAAAGGTGGCTGGAAATCGGTGTAAGGACCCCCCTCCTCCATCCACCCCCCCTCCCCTACTCCCCATCTCCTACCTCTGCCTGGAAACCCAGCCCGGCTGCGCCCCGCCCCCACCCGACCTCCGCCCCGGGTCGGCAGCCGGGCGCGGCGAGGGCTGCGGCCGGTAGAGGGCAGACTTACTTTACTTTCGCCAACGCGAACGCGGGTGTAGCCGGAGGAGGGGGGTGGGGGTGGGCGGGAGAAAGAGGCTTGGCCGGGGAACCCAGCCCTCGGATTGGTCGGCTACGCCGGTGCGCTGCCGAGGCCGCGAGGAGGCCCAGAGTCCCGAGCAAAAGCTCCCCGCTGCCCGGCGCCGCGAGCTCGGTGGGAGCGAGGCTGCTCGGGAACGCGGGGCTGCGGCCGGGCGGGGTGAGCCGGCGCGGGCTTGCGCCTCCCGAGGGTGCGCGTGCGTTTCCTTTTGTGTTAAGGAAGGGGTCCAGAGGAGACGGTTAAAAACCTTTGGACGGAGGACCCTGGATGGGAGCGCGCTGGCGGCTGCTGGTGTTAACTGTCCAGAATAACATAAAGCCTCAGACCCGGAGAGATTGGGCAGTGGGGAGCGAATTGCAGATCCGTGCAGGGGGCGAAGCAACGCCTGCTTCCGGCTGCGGTGGAAGGGGTTCACTTTGGAGCGGGTGGGGGGTGTGCTCGCGCGTGGGCAATCGCCCACGGTGCGGGACCCCAGACAGCATCACGCACCCGGGGCTGGGCCCCGGGGGACCTTCCCTCCCAGAAAACCCCACCGGAAAGGAGACCCCTCCTCCTCCTCCGATGAGATCAATGAACGTGTTTATTCATTAGTGCGTTACCTTCCGTTTGCATCTGAAAGATGTCAGTTTATGAGCACGACCGTAATAAAAGGGAAAAGAAGACTCGAAAAGAAATCAAAGGTCGGGGAAGAAAGAGTTAACGGTTTTCTTCACGAAAAGTCTCCGGTGGACTCTCCCGGGGCCGGCTTTTCAAGCTCTCCTTTCGCCCATGGGTGCGAAGTCGGGTCTCGGGGTTCGGGCTCCCCAAGTACCTCCAGTGCTCCCCCGGGTGGAGAAGGCGGGCGCCTTCGGTTCGCGCCCCGCCCCAGACCCCGCAGCGCGGCACTGGTGGGGTCACCCGCGCCGCCAGAGGCTGGCAACCGGAGGAGAAGGCGGGAGGGACCTCGCCCAGGAGGGTGGGGTGGGCTGAAGTCGGGGTGCGGACCTCCCTCCCCATCCCCAGGGGCGGGCACCCCCTCCCCCAGCTCGAGAGGCTGCGGGGAGCTGTGCGGGATCGGCGCGTCCGGGGTCCGCGCAGGGCGGTGGCGGTGTCAGCTCCTTTGCCAACAAACGGAGGGGAGGGGGTTGATTCGGAGTCGAACGTGTCCGATCCAGACAGCTGCACAGTAGACTATCACACACACACACTCACACACACCACGAAATATAGCGGGTGTTCCTTCCCAAAGCGCCTTCCAAGTATACGTGGCATTGAACTGCAGCGTGATTTTAACCCCCGGCCATTCCTTCCCTTCCCCACCCCTCCCCGCCCGGGCCCGCGGGGCTCCCCAGTCCCCCTTCCTTCCCCCTTTCCTCGCGGCACTGAGGCTCCGAACGCCTCTCTTCTCGCTGCCCGGGAGAGCGCGCCTGGCGATCGGGGAGGGGAGGACGCGCGCCGCGGGGCAGGGGACGGGGCAGCGGCTCCACCTGCAATGCTGGACACGCACGCACACGCACGCACACACACACACACACACACACGCAGGCAGCCTGGTCCCCGCGCCGCGCCCGCGCAGGAGCGGAGAAAGGGAAAGCCCGAGCAGGATGGTAGGCGCGCACAGTTAATTCATCCGGAGCTCCGCGTACGGTGTTTACATCCGAGCCTCGGAGCACCGGGCTCGCCGGGCCGAGTCTCCTCCCCCTTTCCCGGGCTCTCCACCAGCGCCCCTCCCGCTTCCCAAAGCAGAGGGCGGGGCCCATAGAAAGATTTTTTTTTTCTTACACATCCACGCCCACCCACGGCCCTTTATAATCGCCGGGTCCGCGCGGCCGAGGACCCCCGCCCCG